TGCCGGGGGGGCGTGGTGTGCCGGGCCCCGAAGGGAAGCCTGTGAGTGGGGGCGGCCCGCCCTGGCCCCTCTGTGCTGGCTGCCATGTGTGTGCGCGAGTCCCGGGGAGCGGGGTGGCTGTGCCTGCGTGTCCGGGTGTGGGCACAGGTGTGTGGTGCCATGAGAGGCCTGCTCTATGCATGTGAGTGTGTGTGCGTGTGCATGCGTTTGTGCACGTGTGTGCCCGCCAGCGTGCTGTGTAGGAGGGGCAGTCCACGGACGCGTGGTCGTCGGCCTGGGAGGGCTGGGCTGTGGAAGGGGTCCCGAGGCAACCCCGGAGGGTGGGAGCTGGCCCAGGGAGGCCCAGAGGGAGGCTCACCAGCCCCTTCTCTGTGCAGGGTCTGCAGGGTCCGAGGGGGGCCCCTGGCCCAGCGGTGAGTACCCCAGGACCCTCACCTCTCCTGTCCCATCCTATGTCCAACTGCTCTGAGCAGGACTGCCTTAGCCTCCCTGGTGGGGCGTGGCTGGCTCTCCTCCCTGACTCTCGTACCCCACCAGGGTGGCCATGGAGACCCCGGACCGCCTGGTGCCCCGGTGAGTGACGGGAGCACTGCCTAGCGGGGTTCTGGGAGGGATGGGAGGCATTAGTCAGCCACGAGCCAGGCCTTGTCTGTTACTGTCTGAGCCCAGACAGGGACACTGACCCCTGTCCCTGCCCTCGATGCTTCTCTCTAGGGTCTTGCTGGCCCTGCGGGACCCCAGGGACCTTCGGGCCTGAAGGTGAGTGTGGGCGCGGGAGGAGGCGGCGCCCCGGCCTCGTGCACGTCCATCTGACCTTGCCACCTCCGGGCATCGTTTCTGGCAATGAGGCTGAGCCCTGGGGGCCCTTGCACGTGGGCTCTGCTCAGGCGGTCTCTGGGTCCTTTTGCAGGGGGAGCCTGGAGAGACAGGACCCCCAGGACGGGTGAGTGGTCCTGCTCGTGGGCTCAGGGCACAGGGGACCGGTGGGCCAGCACTGCCCGCGTGTTTCCTCCCAGGGCCTGCCGGGACCGACCGGAGCCGTGGGATTGCCTGGCCCCCCTGGCCCTTCGGGCCTCGTGGTGAGTGCGTCGGGCTGCGGGACACCAGGCCCTCCCTCGGGTCCGTGTTCTCCACGTCCCCCTCTCCCTGCGTGGCCCTCACACCTGACTTGTTCCCCTCAGGGTCCACAGGGGTCGCCAGGTTTGCCTGGGCAAGTGGTGAGTCCTGGGGGTCAGGGGCTGCGCTCCAGGGCTCCAGGGATCTGGGGTCAGCAGGCAGGCCCCTGACGGAGCTCCTCCCCTAGGGGGAGACCGGCAAGCCGGGAGCCCCAGGTCGTGATGGTACCAGCGGAAAGGACGGAGATAGAGGTGGCCCTGGGGTGCCGGTGCGTGCTCGGGGGGGAGCTGGCTGGACATGGGGAGGCGCGGTGGGGTAGGGTAGGGAAGGACGGGTTCCTCATGCCACTCTGCTGCAGGGGTCACCAGGCCTGCCCGGCCCTGTCGGACCTAAAGGAGAACCTGGACCCATGGGGGCTCCTGGACAGGTGATCTTTGCCCTGACCCCCCTGCACCCCCAACCTCAGCTTCGGAATCCCAGGGTGGGAGCGGGAGGGGTGCGGCCAGGCTTCTCACTGGGCTCTCCCCACAGGCTGTGGTCGGGCCCCCTGGAGCAAAGGGAGAGAAGGTGAGTGTGAGACCTGGAGTGGGGGCGAGTGGGGGGCCAAGGAGCCCCACTGACCCCTCTCCCCTCAGGGAGCCCCCGGCCATGCTGGAGACCTGGTGGGTGAGCCGGTGAGTGTGGGCCTTCTGAGCAGGTGACCTTCAACCCTAGCCCCTCTCCACCCCTGCCCACATCCGCCCCTGGCCTCCTGCCCCTCCCTGAGTCTCGTCTGTGACTAACATCTGTGTGGCCCTCTCCTTTGTCACACAGGGAGCCAAGGGTGACCGAGGCCTGCCAGGGCCACGGGGCGAGAAGGTGAGGGCCTGATGCTGGGCTGAGCACTGGGCAGTGTGGGAGGGCTGGGCAGCTAGACTGACGCAAAGCCCCTTCTGTGCAGGGAGAAGCTGGTCGTGCCGGGGAGCCTGGAGACCCCGGGGAAGATGTGAGTCTGGGGTCTGGGCAGCCCACGCTGGCTCGAGGAGTGTGATTGGGTTCCTGGGCCTGTGCACACCTGAGCCCTGAGCCCAGCCGTGTTCCAGCATCTGCATGTGCCCCCTGCTTGGGGCACATGGGGGTCACAGCCTCCGAGGGCGGGGGGACCCCACCTTGGCTCTCGCCCCTCTCTGAGCATGCACGCGTGGGCTCTTGTCCACACTCTCAGGTCCTGGTCACACCCACGCTCTCGTGGGGTCTTGCGTGGGCCCTGTATTTGTAACCCTCCCTCCCTCGCCCCTTCTCCCTGAGTCCACATTCGTGGTCACGTCTGAGCTCCCCTGTGTCCGCACTCAAATCCATGGTCCCACGTGTCAGGGCTCGTGTGGGAGCTCCAGGTGCACGTGATCACGCCTGACCCCTCTGTGTGCACGCTGGAGCTGCCCTCAGGGCCCCACGAGTGCATGGGCGTGCCTGGGCTCCTGGGAGCCGTCCCCATCACACGTCTGAATTTCCTGTGCTCCCGCCTCTGCTTCGTACAAGGCCGATTCCTTTGGTTTTCAGGGTCAGAAAGGCGCTCCGGGACTCAGAGGTTACAAGGTACACGTACAGGGGGCCCCTGCTGGGGTCAGGGTC